TATATATATATATATACAACAATTCCTCCAAATTTACAAACTTACCAAATATATCAAACCTATTTTTGGAAAGTAAATATTCTGAAATAAAAAATAACAAAAACATAAATAGGACTAAAATAATGCTATCAAAAAGTTTCCAAAAATGTCTCTCAATCCTATATTGAGAGATTGAAGATGGGGTGGTTGATAATCCTTCCAGATTTTCCACATTCCCTCTCAAGCGGGGACAGAGATGTTGTAGAAACCAAGTTTGGTATTGAACTCTGAGAAGTTAATTGCTCTTGATAATTTCCTTTTCATCATCACCGGTAAGAGCTTTGGTGAAGACATCAATAACTTGTGTTATTCATGTGTTGTCTCACAATACCGATAGAATATGCAATACATGCCTAATATGTGACAGGTAGATAAGTATTCCTACCAATCTTTGATATCTTCCATTATCCATAAATACATTTTATTCTTCTCTGTTAGACTTCTTGTATGGATCCATGAAGTATTAGCAAGACTGTAGCCAATCATTTATGTCTACTTTAGAATATCTAGGATGTATTTCCTCTGTGATATAATGATGTCTTTCTTGGATCTAGATACCTCTATATCGTGAAAATAACTCAAGGTTCCCAGATCCTTAATTTCAAATTCAGTGGTAAGCACTTCTTTGCACTTGATAATTTCTTTTTCATCATCGCCAGTAAGAATCATATCACCCACATATACTATCAGTGCGTTAATCTTACATTCATGAGTGTGTTTTGTGAATAGAGTATGATCAATTTAGCTTTAAAAATATCCACTAGATCTCATAGTTTTAGCAAACTTTTCAAACCACGCCCATGGTGCCCATGGTGATTGCTTAAGCCCAAAGCCCATAGAGAGACTTCTTGAGTTTGCATGTTAGGTGTTTGTTGGAATAATTCTCAAATCTTAGTGTTATCTCCATGTACACTTTTTCTAGATTTTCATTCAAAAATAACTCTGTCGTGATATAAGAATGTCTTTCTTGGACCTAATACCTTTATACCGTGAAAATAACTCATGGTTCCAAGATCCTTAATTTCAAATTCAGTGGCAAGCACTATTTGCTCTTGCGAATTTCTTTTTTCATCATCACCAGTAAGAATCATATCACTCACATATACTATCAGTGCGGTAATCTTACATTCATGAGTGTGTTTTGCGAATAAAGTATGATCAGTTTAGCCATAAGAATATCCACGAGATTTCATAGTTTTAGCAAATTTTTCAAACCACGCCCTTGGTGATTGCTTAACCCATAAAGAGACTTCTTGAGTTTGCATGCTAGGTGTTTATTGGAATCATTCTCAAGTCTTAGTATTATCTTCATGTACACTTTTTCCAGATTCTCGTTCAAAAATAACTCTATGTCGTGATATAATGATGTCTTTCTTGAACCTAGATACTTCTATACCGTGAAAATAACTCATAGTTCCAAGATCCTTAATTTCAAATTCAGTGGCAATGATCCCGATTTTTATATGTAAGGATTTATGAAGTTGACACCACTACGGCGCCAAAAACTTGATCCTGACGCCAAAAACTTGATCCTTATATGAAAAATAAGTTGTGTAAAATATATATAATTATAGGCAATTAATAATCGAATTCTACACAAGTAATAATGAACTTTCTATTTAAGCCTCAAATATCGATCCTACGGGGAAGGTGTAAGTTAACAATGATAAAGTTAACAATGATAAATTTTAATAGGAAATTTACAGAAAATCAAACGAAATCACTGTCACTAATTTCGAATGTTGAGATATTAACCAAACTAAATTACTTAACTATTAGCAAAACGGAAATGCAAATTTTGAATAATAGCTACTAATCTACTAACTATGTTTATGTAATAAATATTTCTTATGTGAAAAAACATCATTCCCGCTATAATGAAATTCTTGTGAAATGAGATGCGATAAATGTTTACAATATGTATTGTGCCAAATAAGAGTAATTTTAATTTTTTACCCTGATATAATGCATAGAAAATCATTGGTTAATCTTAAGTTTAGTCCCTAAATCTGTGGCTAGGCTAGGAGGATACCGGCTCCCACTCCAGAGCTCCCACTTCCCTTCACCTGAAGGCTAACTCTTGCTTTAGTTCTTAAACACTAAGACAAAATTGAGGATTTTAGTCTGTCACCCTAAAGATTCTTCAATTCTACACCCAACAAAGAATATTTCTCTATTTATTTGCACTTAATTTCTTGAAAGAATTTCTCCTTCATGAAATCAAATGTGATCCTCACTCTGTTGTAGAACTCATACTCTATTTCCCGGATCATATGTTTCACAACATATTTTAATAAATCAATTGACCAGATTTAAAAGTAAATTAAGTTCGGAGTTGAAAAATCATCACAATTTATTTTGTATTTTAATTATGACACATTCATTTTATATTTTCATTTTACCATATCTCAGGGTAGGGGGAAAGATAGTGAACTACTCAGACTTCATGAGAAAGATACGACAAAACACAAATTTCCTATATAAAAGAAATTTCATACAACACTAAATAAACAAACAAACTTATCTGGAACTCTTTCTCAAAGCAAATTCTTTGTAGCCTTTCCTTAGAAATGCAGGAAGAATAACTTTCACTTTTCTCCTTCTTCAACACTCTTACAGAAAGTTTCACACTAAATCTCACCACAAAAACTCTAAACTATGAAAGCAAAATTACTAATTGACTCCAATATGGTGGTGGAATGAATATGAATTATGAAAATGTGGCGTTGTGGAACGTTGTGAAGTGAAAAATGAATGTAGAGGAGCCCGTTTTCTGATGAAATTCGGCCTCAAATAAAGCCCAAGGTCGGTTATTCAAGAGTTGCCTCCAAAAACTCTTCAAAATCGTCCAAATACATCAAACCTTCTAGAAACAGGGTCTGAACCGCCTTTGGCGCCGTCGACGGCGCCAGTCTGGCGTTGTTGGCGCTGAGTAAAAATTCACTAGCTTTCGGTTGCTCTGCGTCGTCGGCGCTGACCTTGGCGCTGTCGGCGCTGAGTATTTCCTCAAAAACGTCATTTTGACTCCAAATTTCATTTTTTTTTCCTTAAGCCCCAAAAATCAACAACCTATAAGAAAACATCAAAATATTTTCCATTAAAGTACAATATCACAAAAAATAAGTATAAAATATGGGTCTAAAAATCCAT